AGCTTGGCTGGCCACGGCGTAGCCACGCCGGCCATGTCTTTATAGCCGAACTTCTCGAGTAAGGCGTCGATATAGGCCACCTGGGACAGGTAGACCTGCCTCTTCCCGCGGTTCCTCACGATATCAAAACCCAAGAACCTCTTCGGCTCGCCTAGTTTCTTGATGCCATACTTGCTCTCCAGCCCGGTAGCGATATCTTCAATGATTTTCGTCGTAGGCGCTGATATAAGTAGGTCATCCACGTACAGGACTACCAGGGCACCTGTCTCTTTGTGACGGAACAGGCAGAGGTCTGATGAGAGGGTATCGAAGCCCAGTTCAACCATCACAGGTTTCACTGTCTCGTACCAGTAGATAGGTGACTTCCTCAGGCCGTATAATGCCCTTTTGAGCCGGCACACCTTGCCCAGTGGCTTGCCCAAGCCATCTGGTGGTCGTACGTAGTACTGTGCGGTGTCAGGGATTTTGGCGTTGAGAAATGCCATCTTGAAGTCGTATTGAAGGCACTCCCAGTCATTCACGGCTGTAATAGCCCAAAAGCATTTGACTGCCACGCTACTCACAACGGCGGCGTAGACGTCCTGTGTGGCCCAGGAGTCCCTGTCAAAGTTGCCACACACCACCCACCTCGCCCTGGCCTTCACCTCACCAGTTTGAGGGTCCATCTTCTCATCGTATACCCATTTGCTCGGTAAGACGTTGTAGCCCTTTCGGCGTATCCACCAGCTCGTAGACGTCCTTTTCCAACAGGCCGGCGTCCTGCTCCTTCATGGCAGGCAGCCAATACTTGTGGTAGTTCTCGAGCTTCCTCGCTTGCCGGTAGTTCCTGGGTATATGGGACTTGTTGATGGTTTGCAGAAGGTGGTCGATTTTGACCGTGGATAGGGCGTAGGCCACTACCTCACGTAGTCGTGGGTTGTCGAGATGTACTGTGAAAAAACCTTGGTAAGGGTGTTTACCCTGCTGTAGCTTCTTGTAGAAGCCTGGTCCCTGATTTTTTGTTGTTGTCTGCGAGGCCGCTCCTGAGCCGGCGGAGAAGCCACCGCTTCC